GAAGGGGAGCCCTCGAGGTGAGGCAGGCCTCTGGGTAAAAGGAAGTGGGAGCGAGGACTCAGATCCTTTCACTAGCCCGTTTCACCGGTGTGGTGTATAAGCCAGGAAAGTTCCACACAATAGCGGGACTATTCCCCCACTTCCATCTCTTAGAAATTCTTAAAAGGACTCGCCTTAGTTTTATTTTCTAAGGTGAAACTTTTACCCTTGGAATGTTTTGCTATTTTGTGCTACGCTAGGCTCTTCACATTTCTGCAAAACATGTAATAACCGGCTCCCTCTGCCTGTCTGAGGCTATGTCTACACTAGAGATGTTAGGGCAGCACAGCTGCAGCAGTACAGCTTTGCCATTGTAAGGTCTCCGCTGTAGCCGCTCTGTGCCGATGTGAGAGAGCTCTCCTGCTGACATAGCGACGTCCACACCGTCCCTTTTGTCAGTCACAGGGGTGTTTTTTCACACCGCTGACCGACAAAAGTTTTACAGACAAAAGTGCCAGTGCAGATAAATCCTGAGTTGCATGCTAGTAAAGGGGCCCACTGCCTCAAGTCCTGCACTGTTTAAGAAGATTGCTATTTTCTGATGGTCTCCTTTCTCACCAAACCTGGCTGCTAGCATATCTCAAAACTCTGTCTGAATCTCTTCCCGGAGTCTACTGCATTACCTGAGAGTTTCAACTTCTTGGGGGCTTTCAGTTGTTCGATCTCCAGAATGGCTCCTTCTTTCCTTCATCGCAGCCCTCTTTTCTCTGCCCTATCATCTGGTCTCTCCTCTGCTCCCACGGGTTGTCTTCGGAATTCATAAGACAGAGACACAGTCTGCACTCGAAGAAGGAAGTCCCAGAATCCACACCTCACAGGAGCGGGGAGCTCACAACCTCCAGCTAGTTCTGGAAACCTCAGATTCACCTTGAGAGGATGGCAAAGGCTCAGGCTCCCTCTTCCAGCCTTTCCTCTGCATCCCTCCCAACGAACAGCTCCTGCCAGAGCGGGAGTCCATTTCCCTCTTGGCGTGATGGAGAGACCGTGGTTATGGCAGGGAAGTCAGAACTCCTGGGTTCTCTCTGTCATCCTGCCACTCATTCTCTATGTGACCTTGGCCCATTCACGTCTCCTTGTACCTCAGTTTACCTATCTGTATAATGGGGATATGTTCATAGGGACTTTTGTTTGATAGGGGTTTTGAAGATCCTTCAATGAAAGGTGTTGCACAGTATGATGATAGTTACTGATGAGAATTACTGATCCCTGAGTGACAGCCCCGTGTGCCTGCAGAAAGTGTTTGTATCTCCCCTCAGGCATCTGTCTCCAGATCTGCCTGTCTACTATCATCCCAGTCTTCCTGGATATTTACAGGATTCAGACCCTATGGAGATCTAGGCATTATTCCTAATTTTCTTGCTAATCAACTATTGTTTTTAAATATATACCAATACACAGAGCAGCCAGTTCCTCTCTGGCTCAGCACAGAGCCCCAGTGTTCTCATCTCCCTTTGGGAAGGTCCCTTAATTACTGTTTACTCCTAAAAATGGATAAAGAATGCAGCAGCACAAACAGGTTTGTCTCCAGCCTGTTTACATTCAGATGCTCCCCTAGAGGCTGAACGAATTCCACTGGGATTGCCCAGAGCTATATTATAAATGGAGCACACCCCTGTGTCGGTTCTCGACGTGGGATGCTGCTGCAGATGCTGGAGTGAGAGAGGTGTGGGACACGGCTACCTGAGGGGGATTCCCAGGGAGGACACTTCCATCGTAGGATTCACAGGTACCCATCTCTTGCTGAGGACTTACAAGCTCAACAAACTCAGTGCAATGTGGCTGTGATGGGATGGAGAATAGGTCTGTGGTCCTTTCCACTCTGCACAGCCATTAAACATCCCAGTTCCCTTGCCACAGGAGATGAGTTTGCTCCAGTATCGTGGGCAAATAGCTCCCTCTCTTTTGTTCCTCCCCAGATGATGGCCTCCAGCCCGAAGTGGCTGCATTTGACTGGCACAGGACCAAATTCTGAGGCCCTAGCCCATACTTTGCTCAGGCCGCACTGAGGTAAATCTTCCTTTGGAGTAGGAACTGAGTAGAGATCTCAGGATCCAGCTGTGTTTTAATGCACAGAGACTGTCACCTCCTCCTCTTGCATTTCAGGGCTCTGGCTGTTAAAGTGGGGGCTGTTACCTGACTTTTATCTGCTGGAAAGCATGAAGGCCTAATAAGCGCCGAGTAGAAGAATACTATCACTTCCCATGACTTGCATTCTATGCCTGTTAATGCAACCCAAAACTGCATTTTCTTTTTTTGCAACAGCAAAATAATCCACACCCCTGAGAGGTGAAGCTATTTCAAACTAACCCCAGCTTAGACAGAATGAGGTCAATGAAAGAATTCTTTCATCAACCTAGTTACCCCTCTCGTGGAGGTGGGTTACCTACGCTGATGGAAGAACCCCTGCCATCTGTGTAAGTAGTGTCTACACTGAAGCGCTATGTAGCATTTTAAGTGTAGACAAGCCCTCAAGCAGATCTTCCACAAAAGCATCCAGTCTGCATCTCCAGATATGAGGAGTTGGAGAATCCACCACTTCACTTTGCAGTGTGTTCCAATGGTTAATCTCCCTCAATGCTAAAAATCCGGCCATCATTTCCACCTGGGTCTCGCTCTGCCTTTCTCCGCTAGATTAAAGAGCTCATTATTAGCCACTTTTTTTCTGACCAGGAACATCCCTCTTGATTGATATTTTTTATAAGGTAAATAGACGAAGCTGTTTAAGTCTCTTACTATCCGGCATTTTCTCCTGCCTCCACTCATTTTGGGGCTCTTCTCTGCACCCTCTCCAATTTTTCAACATCTTTTTTGAAATGTAGACCCCAGAACTGGATGCAATAGGTTTCACCAAGGCTATGTGCAGAGGTAAAATATTCCCCCTGCTGTAACTCACCACTACCCTGTTTATGCTTCCAAGGATCGCATTAGCCCTTTTGGCCACAGCATCATACAGGTAGGTCATGATGAGTTGATTGTCCACAATGACATCTAAATCCTTTTGAGGGTCCTTGCATTCCATAATACAGTGCCTTAGTCTGTGTGTTGGGCCTGCATTCCCTGTTCTTAGAGGATCACTTTGCATGTGACTGTATTAAAACATTTTGTTTGCATGGGTCAAGCTTACAAATGCTCCTCATAAATCTGTATGCCTGCCCTGGCCTTCTCATTGCGCCCACTCTGCCAATCATTGAGTTATCCGCATATTTTATCTGCAGTGATTTTATATTTGCTTCCAGATTGTTCCTGAAAACATTGAATAGCATCGGGCCTAGAACTGATCCCTGCAGAACCCCACTAGAAACAGCCTGATTCACTGACAATGGCCCATTGACAACTGCTTCCTAAGATTTGTCAGTTAGCCAGTTTTTAGTCCATTTTACGTACGCCCTACTGATATTGTGCAGTGTTCATTTTCTATCTAAATATTTTCCACTACTAAATTAAATGCATGAAAGAAATTGGTTCCCTTGATCTACCAAACATATCCTCTTATTAAAGGACGAAATCAGGTTTATTCGACAAGACATGTTTTCCATAACTCAGGTTGTTGACTGGCCTTAATCATATTCCTAGACTTTTTTTTAACCAATCCCCTACCAGCTTTTCCATTGTTTTCAAAGCTTCTCATTTTTTTTAAACTTTCCCTTTATTTTTTAATACTTTTTATTTAACACAGAACTGTCCTGAATTTGCCCTTTGGGGGAGTGGGGGGTCTGCGGCTGCCTGATCACATACTTCCGGTTCCGAGTGAGATGTGTGGTTGTTCGGTCAGTGCATAACTCTGGTGTTCATCACTCTAAGGTTCTACTGTAGATGCTGTTAAACATCCTCCCTGTCAGGTGATGGACTGGAAAGTATTTCATCATCTCATGTGATATGAGTACCTCATACTGCTTCTTTCCAAATGCAGAACAAAACTATTTCATGAACACATGTAACTTTTCAGGTACATTAAAAAGTTTCCTTTCACTCTCTAGGAATTGGTCTAAACTTTTTCTAGGATTTCTTTTGTTCTTAATGTACTTCAATAATCTCATTTTTGTGACCCTGAGCCCTGCCAGGGATGGATATTCCCTGATGTCTTTAACCCTTATCAATTTTCATAACTTCCAATTTGCATTGCTTGCTATCTATATTCCCTTTTCCCCATTTTTATATACTGATTTTCCCCCTCTAACATTTGTTTTCCCTTTGCACTGAATGGGGTTTTTAGGTAAAGTTGTCCATTTTCTTGACTGTGAAATCAAGGCTTTTTAGCTATCTGATATACTCTTCTTGAAGAACTCCCAATTTTCTTTCCCATTTTTTGGTCTAATTTTTTCCTCCCAGTCAGTTTTGCTGATAATTTGCCTCAGCTTTGGGGAATTAGCCCCTTTGAAGTACTAAGTGTCTATAGATGGTACTGGTTGGGAACTGTTTTCTGTTTCTCCATTTGAATGTAGAATCATAGAATCATAGAATATCAGGGTTGGAAGAGACCTCAAGAGGTCATCTAGTCCAACCCCCTGCTCAAAGTAGGACCAACACCAACTAAATCATCCCAGCCAGGGCTTTGTCAAGCCGGGACTTAATCAGTTCCATTCTTTTATTTTGTTCTCCTCTATCATATGCCCCCTTCTTTTTCTCTTCTCTAAACTAAACAGTCCCAGATGTGTAGGAATTGTCGATGCATGGAGCACCATAAAATATGGAATTGGTTTTGTAGGGTCAATTGTTCATAATTCATTTCTCTGAATAATTAAAATGTCATTTTTCAGTGTGTGAAGGGCGACCAATTTGCTTTACCCATGAGAACAGCCTCCAGTTGTGCACATCATGTTTCATAGTAACAGTGTCTCTCTCTGTCCAGGCATTTGTACTGCAACCATCACGCTAGAGCCTGGGCACATAGAGGAAGTCAGCGGAACGTACGGTAGATGCAGGAGACACCATTCTGCCTCAGAGTTGGACACCTTCTCCCCTACTCCATGTCAGATTCCAACACAACCGACTTCACCAACCCTTCCACCTTCATCCTGCTGGGCATTCTTGGCCTGGAGGCGGCCCATGTCTGGATCTCCATCCCCTTCTTCACCATGTACACCATAGCCATCTTGGGGAACTTCACCATCCTCTTCATTGTGAAGATAGAGCCGAGCTTCCATGGCCCCATGTACTATTTCCTCTGCATGCTGTCCATCACGGATCTCATCCTGTGTACATCCATCGTGCCCAAAATGCTGAGCATCTTCTGGTTCAATTCCAGGGAGATCAATTTCAGTGCTTGCCTCACTCAGATGTACTTCATTCACTGCTTCTCAGTGATGGGGTCTGGGATCCTTGTGGCCATGGCTTTGGATCGCTACGTAGCCATCTGTGATCCCCTGAGACATTCCGCCATCCTGACAAACCCAGTGGTGGCCAAGATCTGCTTAGCTGTGATGATGCGCGGTGGCATGCTAGTACTGCCCCATACATTCCTGGCGAGGCAGTGGCCATATTGTAGAACCAACATCATCCCCCACTCGTACTGTGAGCACATAGCCGTGGTGAAGCTGGCCTGTGCCGACATCCGCGTCAGTAGTTACTACGGCCTCTTTGTGGCATTCTTGGTGATGGGTCTGGATGTGTTTTCTATCACTGTGTCCTATGTCCAGATCCTCAGGGCCATCTTCAGCCTCCCCACAAAAGATGCCTGGCACAAGACTTTTCAGACCTGTGGCTCCCACCTCTGTGTCATTCTAGTGTCTTACATCCCACCTCTCTTCTCCTTTCTCATGCACCGATTTGGCAACAATGTGCCCCAACATTTCCACATTCTTATTGCCAACGTGTACATTTTGGTGCCCCCCATGCTAAACCCCATCATCTACTCAGTGAGCACTAAACAGATCCGGGGCAGGCTGTTCCGGCTCTTTACTCATAAAGGGACCTAAAGTTTTCTCCTGGTGCTTTGGCTCTTTGAGCGAGCTCTGTGCAGAGATCACCGGGGACATGGTTCTGGGCCCTCATCCTGAATCATTTGCTGCATAGTCAGAGAGACATTAAACCCTTTCCTGATATTACTGGGCTGTGTCAGCATGACAGACTGGGGAATTGGTCCATGTACAATTCACTGGGTTGCCTCCTTTCTAATTGCTGGTAACTGGACCCCTGAAACCTCACCCCTTGCCCCACATCTTCGCCCAAGGCTCTGCCCCTGCTCTGTTCCTTCGCCCCAAAGCCCCACACTTGTCACTTGCTCCTCTCTTCTCCTCCCCCTTTCAGTCGCTGGATCATTTCCACCTCCCTCCCTCCACCCCCAGTGGCAAGGGAACCATTTCAAAATTTGGTAGGAGTGGCAACTTTAATCAGGATTCCAGGGGCTACTTAGACCCTGGAAAATTCTAGTTTTTTGGCAGATAACTTAGCAGTTAGCTGACAGGAGCACTGTATCTAATTCCTGTATAAAAGGAAGAAAATTAAATGAATATTACACTCACTCAGCTTTAATACTAACATGTTCTGACATCTGGGAGGGGAGTGGGGACTAGTTGGTTACAGCAGGGGGCAGATACATCTTGTTGCTCGATCTCTGGATTATGTATTGATAATATTGATCATTTAAGAATCCCCAGATATCACTTTGAGGGTTGATAGATTCTTGCTGCAAGATCAGGCCAAGTATTATTCAAATTATTATAATGTTGAGAACCCCGATGTGCACAGTTGCAACACTCACACTATAGGAACTTTTTTATTTTTACAAATATACTTTATTAATACGTTTAGCACAGTCACAAACACCCCAGCTCAGTAAGGTAGATAGAGATACCACAGAATGTACATCTGCACATCCATATACTCACACCTTCTCCTGTAGAACAACCTGAAATGTTGGCCATCACCTTCCTCCAGGGCCGGCACTTCCACTAGGTGACCCTAGGCGGTAGCCTAGGGCGGCAGGATTTGGGGGGCGGCATTTTGCCATCCTCGGCAGCAATTCAGTGGTGGGGGTCCTTCCGCTCCGCGTCTTCGGGGCGCTTTGGCGGCAGGTCCTTCACTCGCTCTGGGACCTGCCGGCGAAGTGCCTCCGGGACCTGCCGCCGAAGCGCCAAGAAGACGCGGAGCGGAAGGACCCCTGCCGTCGAATGCTCTGAGGAGGAGCACTGCCGCCTAGGACGGCAAAAACGCTGGCGCTGCTCCTGCCTTCCTCATTACCATCACGTTCCACATCATCGCCAGTGGCCATCAGTCTGACACCTCCTAAGGACTACATCTCCTTCTCCTACCGGCCCTAGGCTGTAATGCCACTTTTATCATATGTTATGCTGATGCCATTCTGTTTGATGCATATTCAGTAGGGGATTTTTTCCCTTTTCCGTATTTGTATTTCCTCATCTTACTAATGTTGGAGTGTCTTTTTCCTATAGTTTAGTATATTAATGATTTTAACTTATTATCATATTTGTCAGTTTGTTACCATGGCCCTTTTGTAGTTAGGTATTACATTTGTTATTTTTGTCCTAAGCGGTTTTTTCAGTTCTTTCCAAGTTCCAAGTTGTGGTGTACCTGTTAAGTTTAAAAAGGTATGAATTTAGGAAAGCCCCTATGCCAACCTACTCCAGCGAATCCTCTATGCTAAAGGTTGCAGCCATATTTGGACGTTATGCTTTAGCTCATCACAATCTATCTAGGTGAAAGTTCCCAAACTTATGTATGCTAACTTCTCATTAGCTAACCACACAGGATGTGGCCTGCAAGGTCACAGCCAAAATATACTCTAATATAGACCTATACACCTATTATAATAAAACAAATAATCAAACCCATAAGAAACTTATAAGAAAAGATATAGAGGCAAGCAAGCAGGCTAGCCTTAGCTGTATCTCATATACTCGTTATGTATGTCAGTTCATTTCTAGGACACTTCTGTGGTTGAATCGTGTACCTGTGGAGAGAACTCCCCCTTAAACTCCATTTTCAGCTCCCCAGAGATTTGTGGTTTTCTGCGGGGCCTTGTATCTGCGCAAAGTGTATCTGTTTAAAGTTTATAGGCTTTAAGCTGTATGCTAATTAGCTGAAGCGAATGCCTTACAGGATACAGGTCTGTAGGTTTCTTGCATTACTGCTGAATATAATGCAAAGCTGAATATAATAAAGGCAAGCTAGTCCACTGGGCTTCAAACTGGGGTCTACAGAAGAACAGCAGAACAGCCATACTGTGTCAGACCATTGGAACATCTAGCCCAGTCTCCTGTCTTCTGACAGTGGCCAATGCCAGGTGCCCCAGAGGGAATGAACAGAACAGGGAATCATCACATGACCCATCCCCTGTCACCCACTCCCAGCGTTTGGAAAACAGAGGTTAGGGACACTCAGAACATGGTGTTGGATCCCTGCCCGTCATGGCTAATAGCCATTAATAGACCTAATGTCCATGAACTTATATAGTTCTTATTGACCCCTGTTATAGTTTTGGCCTTTTCATCATCCCCTGGCAAAGAATTCCACAGGTTGACTCTGAAGAAATACTTTATTTTGTTTGCTTTAAATCTGCTGCCTATTAATATCATTGGGTGACCCCTAGTTCTAGTGTTATGAGAAGGAGTAAATAATCTTTCCTTATTTAATTTTTCCACACTGAAGTTAAGCTCCACAACCAGTCACAAACTGTGCTTCTTATCCCCCACACTGGTTATCAAGAAGCAAGACAAGAAATCACACAGTCCTCTTATTGCATTCGAGTTCTCTGTTTCCCAATCAGCACCTAGGTCCAGGACAGTGAGAAGCTTTTTAAAAAACTCTGCTCACATATTCAAAATGTTCTTCTGACCCCAAAGGGTCAGACATGTCCCCAGGTCAGTATAGGTTTGGATCTTATCCAAAATATCACACTGCCAGCCAATCCTTAATATCTAAAACTAAAGGGTTATTATAAAGAAAAAAGAAAGAACAAGAAGGGATATGTTAAATGGTAAAACAGTCACATACATACAAAGACTTCAAAGTCCATAAATCAGGTTCCTGGCAGTATTGGTGAGTTTGCCGGCTTGAAAGTCCCTCTGGAACATCCACAGCTTGGATGGGTCATTCAGTCATTTCAGAGATTCAGTTTGTAGCAAAGTTCCTCCAGAAGTAAGAAGCAGGATTGAGGGAAAATGGAGAAACTGCAGATGCCTTTCCTAGTCTTTTGCCATGTGGCCTGTGTTTCCTTTGTTTCAAACACAAGCTGCCCAGAACATGGCTTGAAAGCCTTAGAGTTCTGTCCATAGACATGTCCCTGCATGTCTTGCTGAGCCATAAGGAGTATCTGCCTTATCTCAATGGGTCAATTCTATGGCAATGGTCCTCAATGAGCCATCAAGCAGGCTAGGCAGTGCTGATGCCAAACTGACTGGGGGTGTCACCCAGAAGCATAGCACAAGTTTGAAATACAGACAGAGAATCTATAGCTCATAATACAAAGGAGATACAAATGCATGAATGAGATTATCATATCTCATTTTATAACATTTTTGCAGATACCTCACATGGTATATCTCATGCAACTCATTGTGATATTTTACTATATTAATATTCATCATATCCTCAAGTATCCCCCAGATTCCATACACTGTCACAACACTGTTTTAGGTAAAAAAATATAAAGAAGATTTATTAACTGCAGAAACATAATTTAAAATCTATTAGACTATCCACAGAAAAGTCCATCAGGTGGAGATAAGCTTCTTCCATGGCCCATTGTGTCCACTAATGGGCCATCAAGTTGAATAGTCCAGCAAACCATATTTTTTCCATTAGCACCTCACATGACAAAAGTTGTACAAGATTTGTTTTAATTATATAACAATGGTGAATATGGGGATGCCAGGGTTTTGCTTTGGGGCACAGTGTCACAGCAATATATCTATGGAACTAGAGCTGTCTGAGATCCAATTTTGTATTTGTATATAAGCCATATGTCCAAGTCCTGGAAAAGACAGTATTCTGGTCTGTACCACAGGAGAAAAGCAAGCCAAGGTATAGATCAAAGGAAAATGAAAGAGTGATTTCCCCACTACCTATCACACACACAACACATGACTTCCTGACAATGATTAGGGTTATGGAATGGCTGCCATATGAGGAGAGATTAATAAAACCGGGACTTTTCAGCTTGGAAAAGAGAGGACTACGGGAGGGAGGGGGAGAGCATGAGCGAGGTCTATAAAAATAATGACTGGTGTGGAAAAATTGAATAAGGAAATCTTATTTACTCCTTTATATAACACAGGAACTGAGTGTCACCCAATGAAATTAATAGGCAGCAGATTTAAAACAAAGAAAAGAAAGTATTTCTTCATAGTCAACCTGTGGAACTGTTTTCCAGAGGATATCGTTAAAGCCAAAACTATAACATGGTTCCAAACAGAACAAGATCTGTTCCAGGAGGAGAGGTCAAACAATAGATATTAGCCAGGATGGGCAAGGATGGTGTCCCTAGCCTCCATTTGCCAGAAGCTGGGAGTGGGAGACAGGTCATGAATAAATTGATGATTGCATTTTCTGTTAATTTGCACAGAAGCACTTGGAATTGGCCACTGTCGGAAGACAGGGCACTCTATTTGTCCCTCACTGTAACCCTTTCGATCCAACTCTGTTTCCAGAGCTGAGGTAGAACCCAGGAGTCCTGATGGGATCTCTCTTTCTCCGTAGAGTTAGTAACAAAGTAAGAATATACATTAAAATTTTAAACCTAACCAGTGTCCCTCAAGTGACTGGCCACAAGATGTCATGACATGTTAGTATTAGAGCTTAGTGGGTCAAATATTTATTGAATTTTATTTCTTTTAGATATAAATTAGATGACAGAAGCATTATAACATTACTAAATTACATGCCAAAAATTAGATTTTTCAAGAGACTTCACGGTTAAAGTTGCCATCCATACTGTGACAAAGTTCCTCCTCTACCT